AAGTAGTATAGAAGATATAACGAATTATATTCTTGAATCAAAAGGTATGAAAAAGTTAGAAAACTCTGGGTTTATTGATTCGTAAAACATTATATAGAATTAAAAACGTATTTCAATTGTGTTTATGATTTCCAAAGAGCTCTTTGTGAAGATCCCAAGCTTATTGAAAAAGTGGTTTCGATTAATATCGAATATATAAGTCAAATATAGTATTCAGAATCGCGATTTTTACAATTTCAATGAAACCAGTTTATGATAGGTATAATATACCTTGGAATAATTGTAATTGATACTGAACGGTGTAGCAGAAGTAAAGCAATACAGTCAGGCAATCAAGAATGGACTACAATGATTATATATGGTAATAAAGAGAATGAAACTATATCTCCATTTTTAGTGATATAAGAACAATATCACCTTTCTAATTGGTATACTGAAACCGATCTGCCAGCGAATTGGGTTATTAAACCTACTAGTAATGGATAGACGAATAATGAGATGGATTTAGAATAGATAAAGTATTTCGATAAATATACAATCCATTAAAGAACAGGCAAATATCGAATACTAGTATTGGATAGGTATAAAAGTCACGAATCGATATCTTTTTAATTATACTATATGGAAAATGATATTATATATCTCAAATTACTATTACATTCAAGTCATTTAACTTAGCTATTGGATATTGAATGCTTTAGTGTATTGAAACAATCATATGATTCTCAGATTGAAGGATTTATCAAAGTTTATATCAATTATATCTCAAAGATTGAATTCTTTATAGCTTTCAAAGCTGTATATCAACAATCGATTACAATTCAGAATATGAAAGCTGGCTTTCAAGGAGTAGGACTAATACCATTTGACCCTCAAGCCATACTCTCGAAATTAGATATTCGGATTCATACGCCTAGCCCTTTATTCACTCCCTCGGAACCTATCGATTCTTGGGTCTCTCAAACACTTCACAATCCAATTGAAGCTCTTTCATAATCGACTTTAGTCAAATCTCGAATATATCGTTATCAATCAAGCTCTCCTATATCTATATTCGAAACTATACTAGTTTTAGTTAAAGGTATAAAGAGATTAGTATATAGGAATACACTTTTAAATATAGAAATCTATATACTTTAGAAGGCAAATAAAGCATTAAGCAAACATTGATATACAAAAAAGATTTAATTATATCAAAAAGGAATACTTACTGGATAAGAGGCTATAAATATATTATCTTAGTAAAAGATTGATATTCAGATTCTATACGATAAATATCAAAATGAAGCGAATTCTAATGGGGAAACATTTTCTAGTAGATACTATAGTAAGTGTAGAAAACCAGATTATAATTTAAGAACTTGTTCTAGTAATGTAATAGATCCTAGATTATTAGACTCCTAATAGTTTCAATCACTTGATTC